TATTTTCTGGAGGAATCTGCAGAGGACTGGAATGACCTGCTCCTTGACACTTCAGTAGAATTCATCAGTAGAGCCATCTGAGCCTGGTGATTTCCTTATCTCATTTTGACTTCCTATTTCTTTTGTTTGTTTGTTTGTTTTTTGTTTGTGGTACATGTGCCTCTCACTGTTGTGGCCTCTCCTGTTGTGGAGCACAGGCTCCGGACGCGCAGGCTCAGCAGCCATGGCTCATGGGCCCAGCTGCTCCACGGCATGTGGGATCTTCCCGGACCGGGGCACGAACCCACGTTCCCTGCATCGGCAGGAGGACTCTCAACCACTGTGCCACCGGGGAAGCCCTTGACTTCCTATTCCTTCCTGACAATTCTGTAAGTTGTGCTTTTCTAGAACTTCTTACATTTCACCTAATTTTTCAAATTAATTGCCCTAAAATTGCTCATCGTGCTCTCCATCATTGTAATCTCTGCTGGATCTGTAGTCATAGCCCTCTTTTCATTCCTAATACTGTTTTTTTGTACCTTTTTTCTTCTCCCCCTCAATCATTCTAGCCATAAGACTGTCTATTCCATTAGTCTTTAAAAACAACAGCAACGAGAAGTTTTGGTCTCATTGGTCATCTCTATTTTCTCTTTCACTGATAATGACTCTAAGATTTCCTTGTGAAGTGATTATTCTGTTGCTTTTAAAACTTCTTAAGCTGACTGTTCAGTTCATTATGTTTATCCTTTCTTCTCTCCTAATATAAGCATTTAAGGCATTTTATGAAATGTCCCCCTAAAAACAGTTCACCTTGGGCTTCCCTGGTGGCGCAGTGGTTGAGAGTCCGCCTGCTGATGCAGGGGACACGGGTTCGTGCCCCGGTCTGGGAGGATCCCGCATGCCGCGGAGCGGCTGGGCCCGTGAGCCATGGCCACTGAGCCTGCGCGTCCAGAGCCTGTGCTCCACAACGGGAGAGGCCACAGCAGTGAGAGGCCCGCATACCGCAAAAAAAAACAAAAAAACCCAACAGTTCACCTTTTACTGCATCCTCCAAGTTTTGATATATAAGCACCAGCACTCAGTTCTAAGTATTTTTTAACTCTCATTATGATTTCTTGTGTGGCCCATGAGTTACAGAACCTCATTCTACGCATTTTTAAATTTAAAATATATGGGGATTTATTCTTCCTATTTATGACTAACTCCTACCTTAAAGGCATGGGGTCTGTGTCAATTATTTATCTTTTTCTCAGCTCTCTGGTGGGAGTACTGGAGCCAGCGGACCAGATTCCCTAGACCCCCTTGCCTACTGTCTTCCTGTTAAGACTCGGCCAATGGGAGCCAATTGCTATAGTAATATGTTTGCTATCACCTCTTTAATTCTTTCAGCCTTCTAACATGGACGTAACCATTCCCTCTATCGAATCACCTCAGTATGAATTACTTATCTTGGTTTCTGTTTTCCTAAAAAGACCCTGACTGATAAAGGGCCAGAGAATGCAGTCTTTAGGACACCTAGTATTTGACAATTGTTGAGACTCACTTTATGGACTTATATATGATCAATTTATATATGTGACCCATGTGTTGAAATCCTACTGTAATGAACCTGTTGAATTATCTCTCCTTAATCAATTTTTGCTTTATTTGTTTTGAGGTAATTTTGTTGCATGTACACAAGTTCAGAAGTGAATAGTTGGACTTCCCTAGTGGTCCAGTGGTTAAGACTCCATGCTTTCACTGCAGGGGGCATGGGTTCAATCCCTGGTCAGGGAAGTTCCGCATGCCATGTGGTATGGCCAAAAAAAAAAAAAAAAAAGAAGTGACTGGTTTTCATCATTTTATATAACCATCTCCATCTCTAATACTATAATGATATTTATTTCAAACTCTACTTTGTATGACATCACTTTCTTTTGGTTTAATATTTGCCCTAATAATAATTTTCTACCTTTTTACTTTAACCTGTTTCATGGCCTTATGTTTTAGGCATGTTTCTTACAAAGAGCATATAACTAAACTATCCTGTTAACAGTCTATATGTGGGTTTTTTTAACTCTCGAGTTTATACCTATTGTGACTACTGATACATGTGGACCTCATGTCTACATCTCACTTTTTGTTTCTTTTTGTAATACTTTTTCTTTTATTTTTCTTGCATTTACTTTGTATTGACTGCCTCATTTTGTGTGTGTTGTTGTTTTTTTTTCTTTTGTTTTTCTTCTTTTCCCCCCTCTCCTCATGGTTTAAAACTTATGATCTCTATTACCTACAAAGTCACCTTACATTTTTCCATGCATGTTTAACATACAGGGAAACACCATCTATCACAAACACTACACGGACTTTAGAACACTTTTAACTCCTATCATTTCCCTCCCAACTCAAACGCTATTGTGTCCAAAAATGGTGCTCACAGTATCCTAGCTCTGCCTTTATTTTAGACCACCAAATCTGACCTGTTAGAAGTCATTTTACATAACCAATGTTGTTTAGATGGACACATACGACTATTCTTATTTGATCATCACTCCTTGCATCTCAGGTCATCCATTTCCATTTGGGATTCCGCCTGCCCCTAAATTCATCCCTTATAAGTTCCTTCAATGTGAGCCTCAGGTCGTAAACTCTTTCAGTTCCCCTTATCCCGTTGACCCTTGAACAAGGAAGGGGTTAATCCACATATAGCTTACACTGTGCCCTCGGCATCCTTGTATTAAACCAACCACGGACCGTGCAGGACTGTAGTATTTACTATCGAAAAACAGTAAATATAAGTGGACCCGGGCAGTTCAAAGCTGCATTGTTCAAGCGTCAAGTGTACAGCACTTTTATTCACCTCAGTTTTTTAATTTTTAGAATATCTGTATTAATAACGTTTATCCATACAGTATAACCTGAGATGGCTTATCATTCATTTGACAATGCTTTCCCTGTAATTTAACATACAAGGTAATCGCAGTTAATTTAATATTTCTCTGAGATGCCTCAGGGTTACTTTGAAGCATCTCAAAGGTAGCTGGATCACCTCGGTTCTTGAAAATAGTTCTGCCTAGACTAACAGTACTTTTCTTTCAGCACTTTGAAGATTTTTACTATCTTCTGCTCGTATTTTCGTTTTTGAGAAGTCTATTAACAGTCAACTTGTCATTCTTTGTCCTTTCTCTCTGGATCTTTTTAAGACCTTCTCTTTTCCTTTAGTGCTCAGTGTTTTCACAACAATGTATCTAGACACAGAGAGATTTTTTGTTTCTTTTTTTGTTTTTTGCGGTACGCGGGCCTCTCACTGCTGTGGCCTCTCCCGTTGCGGAGCACAGGCTCCAGACGCGCAGGCTCAGCGGCCATGGCTCACGGGCCCAGCCGCTCCGCGGCACGTGGGATCTTCCCGGACCGGGGCACGAACCCGTGTTCCCTGCATCGGCAGGCGGACTCCCAACCACTGCGCCACCAGGGAAGCCCTAT